CAGGGTTGGTTAGTAGAAGGTTTAACTGATTGGTGTTAGTTAACCGCCGCTGGACTCACAGACAGAGAGAGAGACGGTTCTCACACACATCACTGGAGCCGCACAATGTCCTCACTGAAGCAGACGCTGTGTGTGTGTGTGTGTGTGAGAGAGAGTGTGTGTGTGTGTGTGTGAGTGAGAGAGTGAGTGTGTGTGTGTGTGTGTGTGTGTGAGAGAGAGTGTGTCTGCGCTCCATTAATATGATGTGCTGGCATTTTTGGAAGGACAACGACTGACCAAAATACTGGCTTCTGATTGGCTGAGCCCTCATCATCAGTGAGACGTGACTGACGTGTGTGTGTGTGTGTGTGTGTGTGTGTGTGTGTGTGAGAGAGAGAGAGAGAGAGAGAGAGAGTGTGAGTTTGTGTTGTTCATCTGCGCTCCATTAATATGATGTGCTGGCATTTTTGGAAGGACAACGACTGACCGTGACTGACCAAAATACTGGCTTCTGATTGGCTGAGCCCTCATCATCAGTGAGACGTGACTGACGTGTGTGTGTGTGTGTGTGTGTGTGTGTGTGTTTGGATGAGGGATGTTTCTCCCAAAATACCACTGATTCTTTGAAATGGTCAGACTGGTGCTTAGAAAATGTATAATTAATGCTTTAAAATTATGGTGAAAATTAAAATTGCGATTGCCAGTTGAAAGCATTCTGGTTACTGAACATTGTAGTTTTAGCTCCGTACAGACAGATTATATTTCATGATATTAAAGTGACCTTTGGCCTTCAGTCACAGCTTATTCTGTACTAAAGGTCAGAGAGTGACAGCAAAGGTCAAAGTTCAGCCAGATTAAAGCGTGTGATGTTTCTAATGTGATCAGAAATGTTCAGGACAGCAACTCTACAATGTTGAGTCTTTAATTGTGTTAAAGTGCTCGATAAGATCCTATAAACTCATTTGGTGATTATAATGAATATTTCAGAGACTCTTATTATTCGTATACATGCTTTCAGTTATTTACATAATATTTTATTGTTTTTTATAGTAATTAATTGTGTGGATTTATCATTTTTATTTATTTATTTTTCTTTTTAATTTTAGTACCTAAATCAACGGCAACTAGCTGGAATATATTTTGAATGAATGCTTTTTAATAAATTAATACTATAATATTAATAGATTCAATTAATAAGAAATGAATACATTTAATATTATTTTAATTTAATATAAAAATTAATATTGCTAATTTTATTAATTAATAGGTAATTAATTTAATAGGTAATTTTTCTTAGTTTATTTTTAAGTAACAAATGTTTTTTATGGTAAAAGGTAATTAATGCATTTTTTTGTATTTTAATTTAAATTTTTCATTTCTTAGTTTAAGTGACAAAAGCTTTTTTATGGTTTTAGTTTATTATAATAACCCTGTTTTTAATGAAATCTAACAGATTATTTTATGAAAATGTAGAGAACTAAAACAAAATGTTTTTTTTTTTTAGTGTTCAATGATTATTTCTGTCTGTATTGTTTGTATAATCACTGTGACTCATAACCATCTTAACTTTTGTTTAATATTTAAGTGATCCAGATAATATTGCGTCAGATTTTCCTCTAGTTCTTTCTGTCACACTTTCAGTTTCTTCACAGAACTCTCCAGACGTTCTTTCTCTCTCCTCAGAAAGAATCATTAACCTGAATGTTTGTCATCTCACTCCAGAGGTTGTGTTTAAAGGATCGACACAAACGTACAGTACACGAAGATCCCTGACTTTGAACAAACACACTTGAGCTGAGCAAATGAAACGCTGGCATACACAATGCTAAGGCTTTGTTTAATAGCTTTACTTAAGATTACAAAGATTATTGTGAACTAAAGTATTTGATGCAGTCCTTAATTTACATTAGCCATCCCAAAAACATATACATTTTCATGTTAAGCAAAAGATATTCACTGTTTACGACTCCTAACCTCTTAGACTGAAAGCAAAATATGATTTGACCTCCTCGTATGTGTTTCATATTTCCAAAGGTCATAAATAAAAATGTTTTTTTTTTGTCAATAAAATGTATACTTCTTCTCAAAATCAGGGTTATTATAGTTAACTACATCTAAAACCATTACTAATAATAATAATAACAACAAATAAATAAAATGAACATTAACTGAAATATAATATATATTAAAAATTAACAATATACAGTAGTCAACATTTGAAGTGGATCAAAAAAGTTCATCTAAGACGAGAACACTTTTAGGTTTTTTACGACAAATTTGATGAAAGGTTTTGACTTCAAATGTTAACTATAGTATATTTCAGCTACATTTATTTTATTTCAAAAACTAAGAAAATACAAACAAAATGACCAAAACTCTAAAATTAAAATAAAAGTGGAAAATAATAAATAAATACTATATTAGTATCTCAGAGTTTTTTTTTGATGTGTGTTTATGATTTAATGACCACGTTTATAGCACTTAATGCTGATTTTCACCAGGAGATGGAGACATTTATGCCTTCTTTTTGTTTAAAATATCTTGAAAATTCTGTGTGGTGATTTTATTATTTTAGAGAATATTTTTATTGCTATTCCAAATGTTTAAGTTCAGCTCTTTCTAAACAATAGATTTTCTGTGACAAAAAAAAGCTAAATTTTTTGGTCTGGCTGGCTATTGGAATATTATATGTGGTCATATATCAGTTTAGATAACTATATCATACATGTTTCATAATAAAGCTACCATATGAAGACAGTTGGACAATCATTTAATTTGCTTTGATGTTTTAATATGCTGGTTCACATTGATTCTCTTGCAAGAAATTCAAGAAAAAATTCAAAGAAATGTTATTCATTTACTTTCTCCTCTTAAAACGTTTAATAAGCTGATAAAGTTTGATGTGCTTTAGCTGTACTGAGAAATGATTAACGTTATCAGAACGTTCCGGCAAGGTTCTATCAACGTTCTTCCAGTAACATTACTAGAGCGTTCATTCAACATTATCTGGTCTTAAAAATAAAGGTGCTTCACGATGCCATAGAACAACCTTTTTTGTCTAAATGGTTCCATAAAGAACCTTTAACATCTGAAGAAGGTTCTTCAGATTATAAAAAGCTAAGAAAGAGATGGTTCTTTAAAGTACCTTTGACTGAATGGTTCTTCTGTGGCATCTCTGTGAAGATCCTTTATTTATTTATTTTTATTTTTTTTAACTGTGTGTTTATTGAACCTTTTTTTTAACAAAACACTGTTACATAACTTTTACTTACAATATTGATACATGAAAAGTAAATAAATAAACACTAAATTAAAAATAAATACAAAAGGATCCTTTATTTTTAAGAGTGCATGTACGTTGTTTATTTTTCTGAAAGGTTTCAGTGGAATGTTCAGTTGTAACGTTTTTTTAAAAGTTTCTTTTTTGTTTTAGAACGTTTAGAAAACATTCCAAATGTAACGTTCCCACAGTGTTTGGAAAACGATCAAAACGGAAGGTTCCTTTGATGTTACAATAACCAAATTAAAATGTGTTTTAAAAGTTTTAAAAAGCTGGACGCCAAAATTCAATTCATGTTAGAAAAAAAAACCCCGTTCTTTTTTTCTGGGAAGCACATAAAGATTCTTTACGCATAACGATAAACCATTTTTAATAGACGACCGAATGCAGTCATAAAGCGTGTGCTCAGTGCTTGTTTATATATTTCTCGTTTATGTGAGGTGAATGTTTGATCTGTGAGAGATCTGCATGTGTTCTTCAACAGATCCGCTCGACTCTCAGCTTCACATTCATTCTTTTGCTGCATGTTTTGTCAATAAATGAGTCTAAAAGGTCTGATTGAATAGCATCCTCTTTGAATAAAAGCATCTGCTTTCACTTGTTGCTTTTTGCGGTTTAAAAACAGTTTATCATTTCTACAGACTTCTGAGATATACTGGGGTTAATTAGGATAAATATTAGAGTAAATTCAGGTCAATTGAGTCAATTTTGAAATTACAATGACTGTAGGCCTATATATAATATTTATATGTAATCACATTAGACATATATACTGGATGCAAAATCATGTATCAAACAGTACTGCATTTCAAAATTGTACCTAGACAGCATTTTTAGGCAACTTTGTTATTTTTATTGACATAATTGTTTTTACACCGATGCTATAGACACGATATCAATACAAATAGGGATGGATGGAGATACAAACCCGATTCCAAAAAAGTTGGGACACTGTACAAATTGTGAATAAAAACAGAATGCAATGATGTGGAAGTTTCAAATTTCAATATTTTATTCAGAATACAACATAGATGACATATCAAATGTTTAAACTGAGAAAATGTATCATTTTAAGGGAAAAATAAGTTGATTTTAAATTTCATGGCATCAACACATCTCAAAAAAGTTGGGACAAGGCCATGTTTACCACTGTGTGGCATCCCCTCTTCTTTTTATAACAGTCTGCAAACGTCTGGGGACTGAGGAGACAAGTTGCTCAAGTTTAGGAATAGGAATTTTGTCCCATTCTTGTCTAATACAGGCTTCTAGTTGCTCAACTGTCTTAGGTCTTCTTTGTCGCATCTTCCTCTTTATGATGCACCAAATGTTTTCTATGGGTGAAAGATCTGGACTGCAGGCTGGCCATTTCAGTACCCGGATCCTTCTTCTACGCCATGATGAGATAGATAGATAGATAGATAGATAGATAGATAGATAGATAGATAGATAGAAGATTGTTCTGTATTGAAGTTAGAGAGTCGTAAAAAATCTTCAGATCAGTGGGAAATAGTCTACTATTTGGTACAGTCGATATACATTTTGCTTTATGTATATGATATTTCCCTAACAGAACAAGAAGTTGCTCAGAGCGCGTCTGTCATGCAGTCTGTAGGGCGCTCGGAATGCGTGCAGACGCAAGCTGCGTGAGCGCGTAGTGGGCGTGGTTTGTCCGCAAGCCCCGCCCCACGCTCCGCCGAACACACACTTCTCGCTCAGCTCAGAGCCGCAGAAGTCAGTCACGCAAGAGCCGCGCTTCCTCGCTCGCGTCTGTGCGGTAGAGAGGGTTCTGCTGTTCCGTGAGCTCTCCTCCGCGTGTGTGACAGTGCTGTGTGAGTGTGTGTGTGAGAGAGAGAGAGTGTGTGTGAGAGAGAGAGAGTGTGTGTGAGCTGCAGTCATGGCTGTGGACGGAACGGAGCAGCGCGCGCTGCAGTATGAGCAAACTTTGGTGAGTTCTGTTTCTCTCTCTCTCTCTCGTGTTTTCTCGTTATCTCTCAGACTCTGATTGTGTTGATCAGTCGTTCTCGGCTGTATAGAGCTGTCAGTCGTGTTTGTGACTCTTGACTTGTTGATGAGTGTCTGCTGCTGTCTCGGACTGCTGTGTGAAGGATCTCTGTCGGTTTTTAGTTCATGTCAAAGTTGAGTAACAATTATGATTCATAAGTCATGACATGATCTCTCATTCTGTGTATTTCAGTGGTGCAAAACAATATTTGTAGTAATATTAAAATAATTATTCAAGATTTTCTATCTATCTATGTGTGTGTGAGTGTGTGAGTGTGTGTGTGTGTGAGAGTGTAATTGTGTGTGTGTGTGTGTGAGACTTTTACAGCAATATTTAAACGACACCCGGGTCATTCTTGGTGTACCCAAAATGGTCCCTCACTATCGACTTCAGGCATTTCTCTGGAGGAAGTAAAGCTTGGCTGTTTGGTCCCTCTGTCACAGTTCATCTAATGCATGTAGTAGCCTCGTGCCTCTGATAAGCACAGCATTTTAAGCTGGTGCACCGCTAGAGTAACTTTGTTTTCGTTTTGTGCAATCTGCAACAGTTCCGTTCCGTGTAACAGAAACACTCGGTGTAGCGGAACCTTTACGATTAATTAACCGTGACGTTTTAAAGCGCGGTTAATCGCTGCATCCCTAGTATGCTGTTTATAATGAATGCCAATAGCCTAATTTGTGTTTTATTTTATAGTTTAATATATATAATTTTATGACTACGTATTTTTCATTCTTGTTGCGTTCTGAATACCGTTAAATTTAAAATATTTGTTGTAGGGAAGTAGGCTATAATGTTTATATTTACCAGTATTTTAACATGCATGTAAATTACATATAAATTAATGTAGCCCAATTGTTTGCAATTACAAGGTTAACGGGTGTTTTTGGAGTAAGAGATTCCTCTGTGTGGCCGGGTTCGTTTCGCCGTGTCGTAAAGTTTCAGTGTAAAATATACCAAAGATGGAAAGGAACCTTTACGATTAATTAACCGTGACGTTTTAAAGCGCGGTTAATCGCTGCATCCCTAGTATGCTGTTTATAATGAATGCCAATAGCCTAATTTGTGTTTTATTTTATAGTTTAATATATATAATTTTATGACTACGTATTTTTCATTCTTGTTGCGTTCTGAATACCGTTAAATTTAAAATATTTGTTGTAGGGAAGTAGGCTATAATGTTTATATTTACCAGTATTTTAACATGCATGTAAATTACATATAAATTAATGTAGCCCAATTGTTTGCAATTACAAGGTTAACGGGTGTTTTTGGAGTAAGAGATTCCTCTGTGTGGCCGGGTTCGTTTCGCCGTGTCGTAAAGTCTAGGGGCGTGGCTTCTAAAGCAGGGTGTTTTCAGGGGCGTGATATTCAAATGACGATTGTTTTCTGCCGCCACATTTATCAACGTGCGATCATTCGGCATACGAATGTTTCATGAATTCTGTCGTAAGTTGATTTGTGCGCACGGATCTGCACTAGTTTCTGATAAATGTGGCCCATTGTATGGGTCAAAATTATAGATTTTTCTTTTATGCCAAAAATCATTAGGATATTAAGATCATGTTCCATGAAGATATTTAGTAAATGTCCTACCGTAAACCAACAATACAGCACACAATAATAATAAACAAAAGACAAACAGAAGTCCATCTCTCCCATTGCTCTGTAAACATCCACGACAGTGTTTCTCTTCTGAAAAGAACTCATGGAAATAGATCGCAAAAGTATTTCATGTTTTCAGTTTGTACCTTCTTTACATTTCTTTTGGACCTGGGGCAGAGACTTTGGAAACATGGTGAAAAAAAGTATTGTTGGTTTTTACTTCTGAATAATACTACAACACGGATAGTAAATAACGAAGTTAATGAAGTAGCCTATTGTTAATATACGACTAATATTGTATTCAACTTTCAGATGATGTATAAGTCTTAATTTAAAAAAATTGACCCTTATGACTGGGTTTGTGCTCCAGGGTCACATATTAATTATACTAATAATGATATATTAATTTAAATCATTTTAATTTTAATTTCATCCTGTGGGCTCCTTGGAAGTTTGCTGAGGGCACCTAATGGCCTCCAGTCTTTGTCTCGCTCTCTCTCTCTCTCTCTGTCGCTCTCTCTCTCTCTCTCTGTCTCTCTCTCTCTCTCTCTCCATCTAAGTAATATAATACAGTAATATGGCCTAATATAATGTAGATGTGCTGGAAACATCAGATCAGGGTTTGTGTGCAGTGGCGTCTGGAGGTGAAGGAGTCAGCTGTGTCTGTGCTGTATCTGGACGTCTGACATTGGGTTACTGATGGTTCGGCTGATAGTTTTGCTGTCGTTCAGAGCTCAGCAGGAGTTACTGAAGTGCTGCTGATTAAATATGACTCGTTGTACGCTAGTTTATGGCGGGTGAATTATTGCTCGTTTATTTTGCTCAAAAACACCCGTAGCCCAAAACTCATCAGGTCTCCACAGGAGTTCATTTATGTGTGTAATTAATTAGCAGAAGAGCTCAGTGTGCGCTTACATAACTATTGTTTGGGGGCACAATTATCTTCAAAAAAAGTGACTGAAATCTGGGACCTCATCAAAATGAAAAATGATTTGTAATGCAATGTTTTCCTTTTTCTTTTTTAAATCTACAAATTTTTTTGTTGTTTATATTTTACATATTCAATGTGTGCATTTTTATACATATACATACATATACACATTTTTAGATTTATATATTTATATTATGTTAATAATAGCCTATATTATTTACATGCACACACATACATATATGCATAAATGTAAACAAATGTATAAAAATTATATGCAATTTTTTTCATGTATGAAAAAATAGAATGTGTGTGTGTGTATATATTATTTATTTTATATTTGACATGTTCTATGTATATAATATATACATACGTTATGCATACATGCATAAATATACATGTACTATACATACATGAATGTAAAAAAAATTATATGTAACTTAAAATGTGTTATTGATTAATTATTATAAGCATGACATTTATGTATCTAGATATATATCTTGCATATGTCTCTATGTAAATAGCTAAATCTTTAAGTAAACGTGTGCTGTTGGCCATAAACATGGTTTCTGTATCAGTAATTATGCAACCAGGAGCTCTGCTGAACAAACACAATCTCTCTCTCTCACACACACACACACACACACACACACACACACACACTCTCTCTCACACTCTCACATACACACTCACACTCTCACACACACACACACACACACACACACACTCTCACATACACGCACACAAACACACTCTCACATACACACACACACACA